AACATAAATGAGCACATTAAGAAGGATGACGGAGGCACAGACCTGTGGAAAAGCTAGGATGTTTCACATACATGGCATGCATGAAAAAGAGGAAAGAATGAAACATAAAAATATTTCAATGAATTTTCATTAAACCTGAATGTGGTGGAGGAGGAGAAGCTTAGAGACGCAAGTCGCTGCTTGGGCCCTCTGCATGCCGTGTGTGAGTGCTTGGTGTGAGTCCTGGTTCCTTGGCTTCCGATCCAGCTACCTGCTAATCTGCAATCTGGGAGGGAGCAGGTCATAGCACAAGTCGCTCAGTCCTTGCTCTCTGTACAGGATGCCCAGATGGAGTCCTGGGCTCTTGGCCCTTCCCTGGCTATTGTGGGCATTCAGGAGTGCTGTGTGAACCAGCGTGTGTGCAAGATCTTTCTCTTTCTCTATGGCTTTTCATATAGAATGAAAATAAGCAAGCAAAAAAACAAACAAAAAAAGGTTAAAAAATTAAATAATGGGATAGAAAAATATTTAAAGGTATTTAAATGCTTAGGAAATGTTTCCGGGTGTCAAGAAAGATTTGAAGGTACACCTGTTCCAGAAAAATAGAAGCAAAAGATTTCAGAGGGTGAATTATTTAGTAGAAGGGGAAGATATGAATCTGCAGCTTGAAAGGATCCACTTTATTGAATAAAAGTTGGACATAGATTGGCCCACAGCAATGAAACTTTTGGTACAGTGACTGTTCCACAAAGATGGAACAGGAGTGCGTGGTGTTTTGATGGGGAAGAAAGCTCTAGTCACTGGTGGGAGGTAAGGGCAGGCTGGCCTCTAATTCTTGTGTGGTGGTGTTCATGTTGGAAGACAAGGGGTTCTGGTTCTTAGGACCCTACGGAAAGGCACCCATGAGCGAAGGTCCCTATGGGATGCTGTTAAAAGTGAGAACCTAGCTACAATTTTTCCCAAAGTAAGACCAATATCCAGATCTTTTGACTAACAGAAGATGCAGGCACTACAGCTTCTTTGAGACCTTAAAGAAACATCAGCCTCAGCCAAATACAACTCAATGGAAAAGTGACAGTATAGACAGGAATCCTGACTCTAGGAATAAGACCAAAATTTCTCCTTTTACAGTTGAGGAATGAAAAATACAAAGTGCAAACTCTGATGGTGAATCAATAATGCATCTGCTAAAACTTGGAAGAGTGTGGTGAGGGGACGTTGGATGGGATCTGACTTCTCTTTCTTTAGCAGTTGAAAGTTGGAAAGCAGTTGAAAGTTGGACTGTGTGCCATGTGGGAGATCTGGTGGGACCCCTGACTGCTGACCCGGGCCTGGCCCAGACCCAGCCGTGGCAGCCAGGTGAGCAGTGAACCAGCAGAAAGAAACAGAAAAACTGCTTCCTGCTTCTTGGTTTGTCCCACCCTAACTCACAGAAATTTAGAAAAAGAAGGTTCCTTTCTGATTGGCCTTGGATTTTTTTAACTACTGGGAGCAAGCTGGATTCTGATTTCTTGTCTGTTTATTGATCATTTATAGCCTTCAGCTGTTCATGGCCATTTTTCCTTTGCCACTTTATTCAACCTATTGTATTGGAAAGAAATTAATGTAAGTACTAAATGCCAATTAATTTTTCAAGTGTGGGAAGCACACAGATCCTGTGAAATCATGAAATCAGCATTGGAAGGGTACAGTGCCCTACAGGAAAATGACACAAGCTTGCCACTTGCATTTTCTTTTCTAAAGAGCTACTTAAAATAGCAAAGAACAGATGTGGTTCCCCTGTTTCCATGGGCCTTACTGCAAATCCTAATGCAGCTAAGAAAACGAGAGGAGGTGGGGCTGACCTGGGCCTGGCCCAGACCCAGCCAGGTGGGGCTGTAGTGGTGGTATAGTATTTTTGTTAATACTCCATTGCAGCAACAGCATCCCATATGGGCCTTGGTTCATGTCCCAGCTAATCCACTTCTAATCCAGCTCCCTGCTAGTGTGCAGTGGAGGATGACCCTAATCCTTGGACCCTGTACCCATATGGGGGACCTGAACAATGCTCCTGTCTCCTGGCTTTGGATATGTTCAGCTCTGGCTGTTGTGGCCATTTGGAGAGTGACTCAGAGGATGAATGAAATCTCTCTGTAATTTTGCCTTTCAAACAAAAGTGAAACAAATCTTTTGAAAGTTTTTAAAAATGGAGAGAAGGTTAGGAAGGAGTGCTGGTCTGCCTGCACCTGTTCTTGGTCTTTTTTATAAGGTTTCTGCTACCAGAAAAGGGGTCACTTTTTTTTTTGGAGAACTAAGTTTAGCTACATGGTGAAAGCAAAAAGCAGGGTTACACGTGACAGGACAGCCTGTTATTACTGTTATGCTCCCCACAAAATGCTTGTTGGAGGAATGGAAGAGCGAGTAAGAGCCCCCTTCAAGGATATAGAAAACCTGGGCTACTGCTTTTCAGCTTGGCCAAACTGAAGCTACCCACCCAGAAATGACCTTCAGAGGATAGTTTCAGTAGCAAGGAGCTTACAGTAGCTTGCTCAATGGATTTGCTTTCGGGATCTCTTGCTTTTGCTACTATGTGGCTATGTTTTCCGGCAAGCTTTTACTCAATTCTTGTTAAATACAGATGGAGTGAATGATACATTGTCATTTTGTGATTCTCATAATATAACAACCCCTGTGAAAATTCTCCTTATTCTTTTTGTCAGTTTTATTGATAAAGCCCTAAGACTTTTTATAGCTCGTCAAGCTGGTGGGCAGCAGATTCAGGCTTAAAATTTGGGTCTTCGGGCTGGTGCAATAGCGTAGCGGTTAAAGTCCTCGCCTTGAACGCGCCAGGATCCCATATGGGTGCTGTTTTAATCCCGGCAGCCCTGCTTCCCATCCAGCTCCCTGCTCATGGCCTGGGAAAGCAGTCGAAGATGGCCTAAAGCTTTGGGGCCCTGCACCCGCGAGGGAGACCCAAAAGAAGCTCCTGGCTCCTAGCTTCAGATTGGTTCAGCTCCAACTGTTGTGGCCACTTGGGGAGTGAACTATTGGATAGCAGATCTTCCTCTCTGCCTCTCCTTCTCTGTGTATATCTACCTTTCCAATAAAAATAAATAAATCTTTAAAAAAAAGTGGGTCTTCAAATCCATGTCCTTCTCTCAATGCTGGATCCATTCATTTTCCTTGGATTACTTGGATTTGCTGCATCCTAATTCCTCAGTCGCTTTCCAAAGCTCTCCACCACCCAGGGAGACCCCATCTTCAGATTTTTTTCTGTAGCTGCCTGAGTTGATGTCATGGTTGGTCTGTCTTTGAGCAGCAAAAGTACAGCTTGGGAGGTTAACCTCACTGGGAGGCATGCGCTTGATGGAACAACAGATCCACCTGACAAGCGATTTGGCTCACAATCAGGTACAATACTAGTCAAAGAGACACAGAGATGTTGCTGAAGCCTTCCAGAAAAGCTCCCTGTGTGTTCCTAAAGCAGTAGTGGGGAGCTGCTTGGTCTGTTGCAGGAGGGAGGCATATAGCTACACTGCTCTAGACCTGAGGCCAGCCACTCCCGGCTGAGAAGCCAGCTCAGAACAGCATCAGAATGTGGAGGGTGGGAAGGGCCACGGAGTGGAAGCAAAGTAGAGAAACTGACAGAATTCCTTACCTCTACTATTTTTTTTCTATTACAGGGCAAAACATCTAACAGGTACTGCCAAAAAACATTAATACTGTTCTTATCTGTTTTAGAATCGCATTATCTTTTATTTACTTGTAAGTCATAGTGAGAGAAAGAGATTGAGAGGGATCCTCCATCTACTGGTTCACTCACCAAATCGTCACAATAGCCAGGACTGGTCCAAGTGGAAGATGGGAGCCAAGAATTCCATCTGAGTATTTCATGTGGGTTGCAGGGACCCAAATACTTGGGTTATCACCAGCTGCTTTCCCGGCGGCATTAGTAGGTTAATGGGAGGGAACTGTATCAGCTGGGATGCAAATCAACATTTGCATGGGATGCTGTCGTCTTAGGCAGAAGCTTAAGCTGCTGTAATGCAATACTGACCCATGGTTTCTGCTTAATTTAAAAAATCTTATTTTAAGTTTATGTGAGAGACAGAAAGTCAGAGATATGCAGGAAAAGATCTTCTACTCATTTGTTCACTATTCAAACCACAACAACCATGGCTGGGCTAGTCTGAATCCAGGAGCCCAGAACTTAATCTGGACCTCTCCTGTGGGTGGCAGGGATGGTAGTGTTTGAAGCATCACCTGCTATTCCTGAACAGGAAGCAGAGCCAAGTGTTGAACCTGGGCACTCTTGATCCAGGGAATGGATCAAGGCACATCCTTGGGAGGCAGCAACCATTTCGCGGGAGACCCAGGTGGAATTCTTGGCTCATGGTTTGGGCTAGTCAAGCCCTGGCTATTGAGAGCATTTGGCAAATGAACCAGCAGGCGGTAGGTCTCTTGTGTCTCTCTGTTTTTCTGCCTTTCAAATTGGAATAACAAAGAAATAAAGAAGCACCTAGAGCAAGAAAAAAAATACACTAGAATGTGATGTAATTCTGAACTCCTCTTGTTTTCTTTTTTGCGAAGTCATTATGTTAGGATGGTTCAATAATGTGTTTTCGTAAAAGCTTAGCCTTAGTATGGCCTCAGAAGCAGGTAGGAGAGAACTTTGCAGAAACCCCAAACTGGGTTGACTGCTGAGCTGGCTGACAACTCCAGCCCTGTGGGGAGCAGGGTGCTGAAGCCGCTTCCAGGAATAGGAGGGGACGTGGCAAGATGGCGGCTGGCCCAGGGCCAGGAGGTGGGGTTGGTCTCGCCAGCAGGTAAACAGGAAGTCACAGTGATAGGCTGATGCCGTTTCGCGACTGGCCTATCAGGCAGCGCCAGGTGGACCCACGGGGAGAAGTGATTGGTGATTGGTGGAGAGTGGTATAAAAGCAGTTGCTAAAAGCTGTAAGAGGGAGGAGGAAGAGAAAGATGGGGAGAGTGAAGGATGGGAGGAAAAGAAAGGGGCAGCAGAGAAGGGTAGAAAAGTTAAGATCTTCGAGTGGAAAAGCTAAGGCATACGGGGAAAGAAAAGTAGCAGAGAGAGAGCTAGAGAAGCAGGAGGAGAAGCTAAGACCAACGGCAGCAGAGAGCAGGGCATAAATTCAGCTGCTTTTGACAATAAGGGGTCTGGTTGCGGTTCCAGCTTTTCCCAGCCCCTCAAGAGTGTGCCTTGTTATTTAGTGTTGCTGTGGGTTGGCGACACGGCCCTCTGGTGAGGTGAGTTTTGTTCTTTTCCTTGAGATCTAAAGTTCTCCAGATGATACTCCAAATGAAGAAATCTGAAAGCTACCAGGGATCCCTACCCCCACACTGTTACAATTATCATGATGTAGTACTTTACAACCCAATGAAATAAGACTTAGGTTCCTGTATTTTGGAATGAATAAACAATTTGTTCAGGACTGGTCCATGTGGAAGAAATGGGATTCAAATTTAAGTTGGCTTGGGTACCAAAGCCAGGTCCATTCCATTACACAAAAAGTTGGGGATTATCAAGCAACGTCCCATTTACTCTCCTCGGTAGTCTTGTTGTTTGACTTCTGACAATGTGGAAAGAGCAAGAAGGTTTTGATGGGATGGAAAGCATCAACAGCCAAAGCATGATATGAGAGATATAAGGATTTATTCCAATATCCCACCCTGGACCCTGCGCCATTTCTTCCTCACAGCTCACAGAATTCGCGCCAGTCCAGCCATCCACCAATCAGATGTAACCTGGCATTCCACCTGAGAATCCCACCCCCAATCTCCCAGCCCCTTCCCCAACCCCGCCCACTTGCCAATCATCCCCAGGCATTCACCTGCAGGCACCAATCCCCTGGGGCCTTGACCTCAATCCCTCCCAATCCCCGCCCCCCCACACCTGGCAGACAAAAAAGGTCCCCAGGTGCGGTTCGCTCTCTCTTGCTCTCTCTTGCTCTCTCTTGCTCTCTCTCTTGCTCTCTCTCCTTGGTTCCTCTCCCCTGCTCTTCCTCTCTCCTCCTTACCTCCCTTCCCCCCTTCCCCTTTTCCTGCCCCGCTGGAATAAACTTCCTAGGATAATGTCGTTGTGTCTGGTGTTTTCAGCTCACGGTAAAGAACCAGGTTGCGAGAATTAGCTGCGCGTAAAGTATCGTAATATCGTATAACCTAAAACTAGAACTCTTACATTCTTTTAAATAACTAACAAGAGAGGGTTTGAGAAATTTGGAATACAATTTGTTTTGCCATGGTTTTTGTTAAATGAGAGACCTGTAGGTATCTACAGGTCTTTTAAAGCTGTCCAAGGGTCACTGGAGTTACCTAGCAAGATTGGATTGAGGAGATTTTGTGCTTTTCTTTTTGTATTTCTAAAACTTTGCTCAGGTCATTGTCTCTTCTCTTTCTTCTTCATCTCCCTTTATAGTGCATGCTCAAAGGTTATAAACATGTCAGCATTACAGATGGCACATTCAAGTGAGCCTATGGGAGATGTTTAATAAATGGATTATTTATAAATGTGTTGGCAGGGTGAAGGCTGACTAACAAGATACAGTGATGGATTGTGAGAACAAAAACAGCTGGAAACCAAAGCTGCCCCTGCACCTGCAGAGGCAAGTGAAGGCCATGGTTCCTAGTAGACTATGCCGAAAACACCAAAGGTGAGGCCTGCCCAGTTGGACTTGGTCCCTTTTGTGGAGGGACTCAAGACACTGTAATGACCTGGCAGCACGGAAGACAGGAACATCTGCTATTACTGACAGCCTCTTTCTACGCTTGATGTGTGAAGGTGATGGTGGTTTCTGGGGGAGCAAATGTGACAGCTAGGTTTATGTAGTGTATGTGAGGGGCTGGGGTTAATGGTGACAAACTCTGAATGGGACTATGGCTATTAGACATTTTAATCTACATCTATACAGATGGCAATAGAGAGTTTAATAACTTCCCCGAGGTTATGGAACTAGTGATTTGAGATTAAAATGTGAAGTTGGGTCAGTGGTTCTTAATCTTGGCTGAATGTTCACACTGCCCAGGAGTTAACAAGTAGGACTTGAGTCTGAGATCCTGATGTAACTGGTTTGGCCTGGGGCCTGGGTAACAGATTTCAAGTTACCCAGATGATTCTAATGTGCATCCAGGGTTGAAAACCAGGTTTGGTTGAGTTCCAATACGAGTATCTACTGCAATGCCGTTATCTATTGCAATGCTCTCAGCTGCTATGCTCAGAGGGCCAGTGACAAAGGAGACAGGGACCTGAGGGAAACCACATCTAGTGCCTTGCAAACCTCACAGCCCAGCAAGACCAGGGGAACGGGCAGGGATTCTGGCTGTAGTTTGGAGGAATGAGGAAGACAGACTTTCGAGGAGACAGATTGTTCTGTGCTGTGATGTAGTACCATTATATTTTGTGTAGTTTTCCTATGTGCCAGACTTTGTTCCAAGCATTCACTAGTATCAGCTAATTTAATGTGTATTACCACTCGCTCTCTAAATAGTATTATTATTGTTTTGTTTAATACTTGCTATTTACATAAATATTTAGTTGATGTATTAGAAGCTTCATTCTAAGATACAGAGAGATTCTGAGCCTTACTCTGCATGCCTCAGAGGTTTACAGCTAAGGTTAAGCTCTAGTGGTTTGACTTGAAAGCCCTCCTGTGGTAATACTGAATGGGCAAAGGTGAGAGTGGAGGTCAGGGGAAAAGGAGGAAAATGAGGGAAGAAGTTCCAATTTGGGCAGAACCCCCAGCAGGTGAAAAGTGGGAGTTGTTAGACGGCAGGAGCATTTAATTAGGAGAATCTGCATAGCTCAGGCTGGCGGCAGCTTATGGTGTGTTCCGGCACCGGAGGCTGCTTTTCCAAGATGCTGTCGTATCATATTGTTCTACAGGCCACAAGCAGCCAACAGCAATGACTTGGTTGGATTAACATTCTAGAGCAAGCTCGAGAAAACGTGGAACAGGTAGGGATCCTGGGGAGCTTAAAAGGAGAAAAAGATTTGGGACTGGATTTAGGGCGAGGGTGAGCTGAAACAGCATTGCAGCAGAAATGCAGTAGAACTGAGTGTTCAGCTGAGTGCAGTGGGACAAAGCATGTGTCTTTTATTTTTCCTTTCGTCTCAAAAGCAATAAGAAATGTAAACTGCCTGCAAAGGGAGGCCAGTAAAGAAATGAAGGTCAAGGTTGAGTAGCACTGTGGACTTACTGTTGGTGTCTGTCCATTCATGAACTGATGAGACTAAATGCCAACTTGTTGGTATTCGGGGTGCGACCTGTTAAACAAAAATTGCAAGAGGCTGTTGCTTTGGAATAGGCTGCTGTACGGGCCCCAATAGACCAAACTGAAAATGAAAATGGAGTCACCATGTTAAGTTTCATATCCCAAATGAAACTAAGCTGTTTATCTGGGAGATAGCAACTAAGTTTCCCAAACAGGCTCCTTCCGTGACAAGTAAGTTCCCTTGTGCTCATCCTCCTACAGAAGGAGGGGAGAACCCGCGCGTCCCAATCCAGCACGTTTCCTTGGGCCTGTCAGGCTATCCCCACCTTTCAGTGAAAGGACTCTGGAATGATCCATCGGCTTTTTTCCTGTTTCAGCTTTTCTTTTTTTCAGCCTCTCTCTTTCTCAAACCAGTATGTTCTGCCGGCCCATCACAGTGTCTATTATACAAGACAAAGTGCTGCTTCGTTCTAGAAAGCGAACAAACGCAATTAGGATCTTCAAGCTACCTGGGCGTGATTGTATTCTTCTTGTTCTTTGACTGGCTTTGGGGAGGGATGACGTCAAAGGGCTGTGCTCCTGTGGGTGGGATTAACACGTGAGGGAGTGCACCCAGCTGCTTCGGCCCTCGGCCTTCTGCTATGTGAGAGCACATGGGGGTGGGGTGGCCTTTTCTGGAGCAGGTAGCCTTTGACTCACACCGGATCAGCGGTGCCTGGGACCCAGCCTCTGGACCTGGGAGCGGTATTTTTTGGCGGGTTATAAATGACTTCACCTGAGCTATTTTGTTAGAGCAACCCAGATAAGCTAGAGCAGGTAGCGTGCAGGGTTGCCTTCCGACGGAACATATCTGCTGTGGCACCTGCAGTAAGTTTTGGGTTGGCTGAGAATGGGGTAGCAAGGAGTTCTGGGAAGAAGTCTGCACTCCCACAAGGGGGCCACTGAGGGAGACCCTGGTCTGTCCGACGTCTGAGGTTCATCAGTGCCAGGGGACTCCACCAGCAGCACCGAGGACATCAGGACCAGCCCTCTCCTGCTTTGCAAACACCAAGGTTCTTATCTAATTCTGTACAAAGTGGGAGCTGCCCACACTGAAGGGGTGGGCAGGATTGGCCTGACTTAGAAAAAGTGGATTGACTTGAGAGAGAACTGTGAAGATGCTCCTGTTTTGATGTAACTCTCCTTTGATCAGAAAATAGGAGATAACCTGCCCCCTCTCCCTCCCCCCCCCCTCCAGCACCCTCCCCATCCGGTGAGACTGGAGGGAAGCAGTGAGCATGGAGGATGATGAGATCAGCTTGCCTGTGGAAGGCAGGCCTGGAGGCTGAAATCTTAGGATAAAGAAATTCAGGATCTGGTAGCAATGTGGCTGAGACAAGCTGAAGGATGATGATGTCAGATCTTAACAACTCTGTATAAATTAGAGTTGTGTGAATTCTAAGTTTTCAAAAATGTCCCCAGAGAGATGCAAGCAGCCAGCTCTTCCTTCACCTCCTCTGTCAAGGATCATCAGATGAAAGCCCATGATTGCCGTCTGGCAAAAACGTGACCCGATCTGTGCATGCGCATTTCTGGTCTTCATGACCCCCGAGACTAGTTCCCATCCAGCTCTCCAGCTAAATGAAACCAATGGATTAAAAATTTAAACCTGTATTTAGGTTGGAAGGTTTTTCTTTCTTATCTCACAGGCTATCTCATTCTTTGGATGCCATTCTATGGATAAAATTTTTTGAAAATTTCTTGATTATTTTATCATATTTATTTCCATATTCTTTGAAAGGCAAAGAGAGATTTTCCATTCTTTGGTTCATTCTCCAAATGCTTGCAAGTGCCAAGATGGGGCCAGGCCAAAGCTTGGAGTCAGGAAGGTAACCCAGGTCCTCCATCTGGGTGTCAAGGGCCGTCACCTGCCAACTCCAGAGTGACCATTAGCAGAAAGCTACAATTTGAAGAGCCCTTTGTGTGCAGGATAAGGGGGAAGCTAAGCTTGCTAGTCGGGCACTACTGCATCTCCCCAACCTCTGCCCGCTCCTCAGCTCACTCTGCCTCAGTGCTGCTGGTTTTCTGATCCTTCTTGGCATTCCAAGTGTATCCCCCCGTCAGGCTTTCTGCATTTGCTTTCTCGCCATGCTGGGATGTTCTCTGTCTGATTTTCTCATGGCTTCCTCTATTATTTTAGGTAGCTGTTCAGATATTCCCATGGTAAGACTAGCTTCATGAAAATATCCATGCCTCTCCCTGATGTTCTGTGGCCAGTCATATCCTCCTTACTTCATTTTATTCATACTTAGAGCATATCTCATAGTCAGCATTGTGTTTGTTGTTTATTTAGCTTTGCTTGTCCTCCCTGACAGTAGCGTGTGAGCACCGTGAGGGCAGGAGTTCTGCCTCTCGTTCACTACTGACTCTTCTTAGCTAGAATAGTGCCCCCAAGGGCCTTCCCCAGTGCTGAGTGAATCAATGGGATCCTGCAAAGCCGGGACGGGGGATGGCTTATGCCTAGCAGAGTGACGTTAGGCACCCTTTGTTATTCTCTGTGTGTTTTGGAACATGCAGACAAAAATTCAGAAGGGAATAGAGATGTTATTGAAATATTGGAATTAAAATGTACACACAATTTTTTTTTACTGAATTTGACTAAAAACAGGCTACTACTTGCCCAAAATCTTGGAGGAGTTTCCACGTACAGTTAAGCTATTCAAAAATTGGTGTTACGTTGATCTTTGTTTAAGTTCCACTGAAGGCCGCGGTCATGGATGTATATTAGTTATCAGTTGCTATGGAGCAATTACCCAACAGTGTAGTAACTTAAGAAACATATATTTAGTTTCTCATGGTGTATGTGGACCAAGAATCTGGGCAGGCTCAGTGATGTCCTCTGTGTCAACATCCCTCAGGGGTGTAGGTAATAGCCACAGTGATAGTTATCACAAGGCAACTCACCTAGGATCCACTTCCAGACTCACTCCCACGGTTGTTGGGATTCACTTCCTTATGAAACACTGACTAATGAAGTTTCATTTCTTTCTTTCTTTCTTTCTTTCTTTCTTTCTTTCTTTCTTTCTTTCTTTCTTTCTGTCTTTCTGTCTTTCTGTCTTTCCTCTCTCTCTCCCTTCCTTTCTTTAAAAATATATATATATCTTTAAATATATATATATATATATTTTAATTTGAAAGGCAGAGTTACAGAGAAAGTGAGACAGAGAGCTTCCCTCTGCTGGTACACTCCCCAAATGACTGCGATGCCTGCAGCTGGGCTGGTCAGGAGCTTGTGGCCTGGAAAAGCAGTAGAGGAAGACCCACAGCCTTGGGACCCTGCACCCATGTGGGAGACCAGGAGGAAAAGGCACAGGTCCAGCCATTGTGGCCACTTGGGAGTGAACCAGCAGACAGAAGATCTTTCTCTCTGTCTCTCCTTCTCTCTGTAAATCTGTCTTCCCAATATAAATGCATCAATCCTTTAAAAAATGTAGTTTGTAAGCTTGAAATGTTATCTCTTGCCATTTGAATGGCCCCAAATGGCAATTTGAGATTATGCTTTACATGATGTTTCAGAGAAGCAAGTTTAACACTTGCTAAGAATGTCAAGGAACACTTAACTAAGGATTATTGCAATAGTGGGGAGACAGACTGAGCTCAACTCAAATACGACAGGGACAAGTGGGAACTTGTGTCCCATGGGCAAGGTAAGGGAGTGAATGGAAAGTTACTAAGGGGATTCATTCATTAGACAGCAAGCAGGCCAGGAAGAGGAATTTGTCAGTTTCAACAGTGAGAGAAAGGGAGCCTGACCGGATATCAGCCTGGGGAGGCCTTCTTCATAAATTGGCCTTGTTGAATTCTCTACTGAACCTGAGTTCTGCAGGGTAAGCCTGAGACTTGTAGAAAAAGGCCCCCTTTGTGTGCTGTTAGCATCTGGATGATCCGGAAGCCCTCTGGCTCGTTTAGGTGACAGCATCTTTTGGCAGTCCACTCATAAGGGCGGAACCCTAATCCCAAAGGACTGGTATCCTTCTAACTGAAAGAAGAGACACCCAAGCTTGCTTCTCTCCTGGCATGTAGAGGAAAGGCCAAGTGAGGACACAATGAGAAAGCGGCTGTTTGCAGCCAGGAAGAGAGATTTCACCAGGAACTGAACTCACGGGCACATTGAACCGTGGGCAATGCCCCTAAGTATCTTGGTCCACACCACTCAACCTGTGGGGTCTGTGGCAGCAGTCAAGTGCATGAAGCTATTTCCACTCCCTGCACACCCTCCCTGGCAATCCTTAAGGACTGTTTTAGCTGTGTCTTCTGGCTCTTTTGCTGTTTCATTGTTTTGAATAATATATAGGTATCTTTTGACTCATTCATTAATTCATATTAATTTCCCATATGGCAGACAGACATTAAGCCTCAATGCCCTTTTCCCTTTCTCCCATTTTCCCACTGGAAAGTATGCTGTAGGTTTACTGGAATTTTTAAGAACTGTTTTATGATACAGCTTAACAGGCACTGGGGTCTCCCTTCCCCCTCCCCCAGCTCTCCCCTCCAGTCTTTTTTTTTTAAGATTTATTTATTTATTGGAAAGTCAGATATACAGAGAGGAGGAGAGACAGAGAGGAAGATCTTCCATCCGATGATTCACTCCCCAAATGAACGCAACGGCCGATGCTATGCCGATCTGAAGCCAGGATCCAGGAACCTCTTCCGGGTATCCCATATGGGTGCAGGGTCCCAAGGCTTTGGGCCATCCTCATCTGCTTCCTTATGGGCAGTAGCAATAACAGTGATAAAAGGTACAAATTACAAATGATACAAATAACTAGGAGGTGCAATAAGGTAAAATTCACAGGTAAAATCCTTACATTTGACGTCATATATGTTATATTAGAGGAAACATGGTAACTGACCTTTTGGGATTGTTTCATTTCCCTTAGCATAGTAGTCTCCAATTTGGCCCATTTAGCCACAAACAATTGCATTTCATTTTTAAAGTAGCTGAGTAGTATACCATAGTATAGATGAACCACAGTTCTTTTTTTTTTTTTAAGATTTATTTTACTTTCACTGGAAATGTAGACATACAGAGAGGAGGAGAGATGGAGGAAGATCTTCTGTCCAT